GTTCAGGATCAAGCAGGAAGAACACAGCTCCCAACCACGATTCAAAGCCAGACTGGTTGTGAAAGGATTCAATCAAAGAAAAGGTATAGATTTTGATGAGATCTTTTCACCAGTTGTGAAAATGACATCCATTCGGACAGTGCCCGGAATGGCCACCAGTTTTGATCTGGAAATCGAGCAAATGGATGTAAAGACTGCCTTCCTACATGGAGATTTGGAAGAAGAAATATACATGGAGCAGCACATGGGAGCAGCCAGAGGGTTTTCATAAAAAAGGGTAAAGAGATTGTGTTTGGTAATACTTGAAGAAGAGCCTGTAACGGGCTTGAAGCAGGCACCAGACAGTGATTACAGAAGCTTTGAGTCTGTTATGGGGAGCAAGGTTACAAAAAGACTACTTCAGATTCACTGATGTCTTCGTAAAGAAATTCTCTTGATGATGACTACATTATTCTTCTTACTCTATGTACATTGATATGGTTGATTGTTGGTCTGTAGATGATATGTTGATTATTGGTCAGAATTCTGTCAGAATTAATAGCTTGAAGAAATAGCTAAGTAAGTCTTTTGCTATGAAAGACTTGAGACTAGTAAAGCAAATTCTTGGTATGAAGATTAAGAGAAATCGAAGAACCAATAAATTATGGTTGTCACAGGAGAAGTATATTGAGAAAGTACTTCAAAGTTTCAAAATAGAGAATGCTAAAGCGGTTAGTTGTCCTCTTGCTAATCACTTTAAATTAAGCTCAAAACAGTGCCCTTCTACTGATAGAGAGAAGGAAGAGATGGAGTGCCCTTCTACCGATGGAGAGAAGGAAGAGATGGAAAAGATCCCATATGCTTCAGCAGTTGGAAGCTTGATGTATGCCATGGTCTGTACACGGCCAGCTATTGCTCACTCAGTCGGAGTAGTAAGTCGATTTCTTTCAAATCCAGGAAAGGAACATTGGGCTGCAGTGAAATGGATTTTCAGGTATCTTCGAGGTACGACCAAAGCATGTTTATGCTTTGGAGATGAGAAGCCAGTATTAGTCGGTTATACCGATGCAAATATGGCCGGGGATGTTGACTCGAGAAAGTCCACATCAGGGTATCTAATCACATTTGCAGAGGGAGCCGTGTCATGGCAATCAAGATTGCAAGTGCGTTGCTCTATTTCAAATCAAACTGACGGCAGAATATATAGCACGACAAGAAGGCATGTAGGAGCTTGGACTGTCGATTGAAGGAAGTTCTTGAATGAACTCAGAAATTCATTCAAGCAATGATATTTGATTATTTTTCTGCGGATAGCCAGAGTGCGATCATCTCGGGAAGAATTCTCCTTTCATTCAAGATCAAAGCACAAATTGATGTTAGATATCATTGGATCAGGGATGTTACTGGAGATGAAGCAGTTACAGGCTTTGAGAAGATCCATAATATTTTGAAAATGGCGTCAGATATTTGTTAACGACAGACTCTTCAAAAAGACAAATTTGAATATTGTCGGATGTAGCTGCCAGGGATGATGGAGAATATGCTTGACGTCCCCACTTGAGCTTATGAGGGATGATGGAGAATATGGCTGACGTCCCCACTTGAGCGTGTAGGGGGAGATTTGTTGGTGGTGGTGTGCCCACTCAAGTGGGACCCACATATTTTTTTTTTGGAGTGGCGGTGCCCAACCACATGATGAAATAAAAAATAAAAAAAAAAAGGGGGAAAGTCAGAAGGTTGGTTGCCAACCATTCAAAGTTTGGCAACCAACCACGAAATAAAGGAAAAGTCATGAGTCACGACTCTCTCACTCTCTCATTCCCTCTCCTATAAATAGGAGGGGGTGCCTCTCAATTTAGATGTACCAACAACACAAAGCAGACGAAGAAGAGGTGAGAAAACAATAGAGAGTTTTTGAGTTTTAAGAAGGGTTCTTAAAACTAAGGGTTTAGAAAGTGTGAGCATTATTTGGGAGGTATTTTTTTTGGAAACACTTGTGAGTGCCCACTACTTTTTGTATTACTCTCGACTTTGTAAGCCTACTATTTTTAAATAGTGGAAGAAAAATATTCGGGAGTTGGCCCGTGGACGTAGCCCTAAACAGTTGAAGGCGTGAACCACGTAAATTTCTGTGTGTCCAATTTTTAATTTTTTCCGGCTATGTGATTTATTTCTGTAAGTTGAGGGTGAACCACGTAAATTTCTGTGTGTCCCAATTTTAATTTTTCGGCTATGTTATTATTTCTGTAATTTTTATTGCCGGTATCCTAACAATATTATATCTAATTATCAAAGTGCTTTTATGCCCGATAGATCTGTTATTAATAATGTTATGATTGGGTATGAAATTATGTAATTTTTGTGAAACGCAAAACACAAGGAAGAAAGGGTATAGTTGCTTTAAAAATTGATATGAACAAAACCTATGATCGAGTTGAATGGTTTTTCTTGAAAAGATTAATGCTTAAATTAGGCTTTTCAAATGTTTGGGTGAATAAGATCATGCGTTTGGTGACAACTATTAAATACCCCATTTTACATGATGGGAGCAAGTATGATCTTATTATCCTATGAAGGGGGCTACAATAAGGTGATCTAATTTCTCAATATTTATTTATTATTTGTGTTGAAGCTTTATCTACTTTATTGGAAAATTTTCAGATAGCAAGACAGTTACATGGTTATAAAGTGTTGACATCTACTCCTGTGATTTCCCACTTGTTCTTTGTTGATGATATATTTTATTTCTTCAAGGCGATTCTTCCAGAAGATATTTGATCAAACAATGGCTCTCCTCATATCAACAGGCACTGGGGCATAAATTTTAATAAATCAGAGATTTATTTTAGTGCTAATACTAATGTTAATGTGTAGGAAAATATTTATGTCCTATTGGGAATGAATCAAGTTATTCGAACTTCAAATTATTTGGGGCTTCCTTCCATCGTTGGGACATGTAAAAAGGAGATTTTCTCTTTTGTAGTTGATAAAATGGTGAAGAAGGTAGTTGGATGGAAGAGGAAGTAGCTTTCTAAATCTAGAAAAGAAATCTTATTTAAAGTCAGTAGCGCAGGCGATACCAAATTGTCTAATGAATGAATTCTTATTGCATCTTGACACTATAGACTCAATCGAGAAAGTTATGAAACTGCTTCCGGTGGAGGACCGGAGGTTGGGAGGGCACAAAAATTCACTGGTTCTTTTGGGCTAAGCTATGTTGAACGAAGAAGAAGGTGGTCTTAATTTTAAAGCATTTCGAGAGTTTAATATTTCTCTCCTTGCAAAGCAAGCATGGCAACTCTTAACTCAACCAAATGCTCTAGTTGCTAGACTCTGTTGTGCTAGAAACTATTAGATGTCTCATTACTGGAGACTACAATAGGCTCAAACCCAAGCTTCATTGGCGTAGTATTCACGAAAATATCAAACTGTTGCGCAAAGATTGTATTCATTGCATTGACAATGGGTGCTCAACTCTAGTTTTCGGCTTCCCATTGCTACCTAATATAACCTCTCCTTTTGTGACGCCTGTTAATAATTCAGGCATAGATGAACTATTTGTTTCGGACTTGATGATCATTAGTAGATGAGCTTGTGATGATAAAGTCTTATCTATGTCACTACAAAAAAAACGGCATTTTGCGACCGATTGGTCGGTCGCAAAATGCCAAAAAATCGGTCGCTAAATTCAATTAGCGACGGATTTGCGACCAATATTTGTCGGTCGCAAAAATTCTCGTCGCAAAATATTTTGCGACCGATTTTTTTCGTCAGTCGCAAATTAGCGACCGATAAATCGGTTACAAATTGGTCACAAAAAATTCTGTCGCAAATCGGTCGCAAATTGTAAATTTAAAATTTTTATTTTTGGTCGCTAATCGGTCGCAAATCGGTCGCAAAATTAAAAAAATAAAATTTTTATTTATTTGGTCGCTAAATCGGGTCGCAAATCGGTCGCAAAATTTAAAAAAATTAAAAAAAATAAATATTATTATAAAACCATAAATTTCTTTCCCCACCTCCGTGAAAATTGAATTTGTTTCAAAATAAAGAATTATTTCTAGGCATTATGATGTCGAGATTCAAAAGTGAGGTACCAAAATAAAGAATTATTCTAGGCATTATGATGTTCGGATCAAAAGTGAGGTACAATATTCTTATCATACGTCCTAGAGGAGTGCTTATAAGTTAAATTCATTTATACACAGGCAAAAGCAATAACAAAATTGAAGAGAAACTACCTCATCTGCTAAATAACAAAATCGTAACAGAGCAACTAGTTCTGACTGATTATATTTGAAAACAAGCCAAACAAATCAAAGCATTTAAGAGTAAAATTAGTCATACCTGTACAATGCATAATAATTGTTGAGACAACAACAAACCAAGAAAATAGTTTACCAAGAAATTAAATACTATATATCAGCATCGATTGCTTTGTTCAAAAAATTTACCAAAAAGATGATCTTCCAAACTACCCATTAATTGGCATGTACTCATAAACCAATAGTCTTTGATCACCAGCAGTGCAATAGCCAATCAAGGTGACAAGATTGGGATGATGTAACAGGCTCAACATCAGAACCTCAACAATAAATTCCTGAAACCCTTGAACACCATCATGATTAAGTTGTTTCACTGCAACAATCTGATCATCAAAGAAAAAGAAGCAATTATTAGAACTGTGAAACAAACTAAACCATACATATCTTTTTCCTAACATAAGAAGGCCAAATTGTATAATTCGATTCACTTGCCTCCCCTCATTCTAGACGGCCTTTATAGACCCTCTCAAAACCTCCTTCTCCGACCAAATTTATCTCTCTAAAATTGCTGGTGGCCGATGCAAGCTCTCGAAAGAAACTGCGAGCTCCACTGGTGTCCGCAGCCTTATTTGCCATTATCTGCCACCAAAGTTATATATATTTCTTTATTTTATTTTTTAAACTAAAAAAAATACTGACCTGGAACTGGAATTATATTTCAAAAATTGTTCGAATTACCAATAGAGTAAATGCTTTCTCTTCCCGCTAGTAAGGCTTTCTCTTCCCGCTACCTACAATTCCACATGTTGTTTAACAAAACATCAACAAGCATTCACCAAAATAAACTAAATAAACTAAAAGAAAAAGAAATTCAACAGTATAAAATCTGTTGTGATAAGAACAAACCAGATTGAGAAACAGAGACAAACCAGAAGAATCAGAAGAATGGCGTGAGGTAGATCGAAGGCCATTTTCAACGTCGATCTTAGTATCTTTACGGGATGAACTAATGCAAAAAAAGCACCTCATTTCTGCAAAAAAAAAATAATTTTTCCAAGAAATTTGAATTTGTTCTTCACTTATGTTTCTGCAACTACAGTTTCAAGCAGCTACTACTGAAATGGAGATTTCTCCAATTCTTTTTATAATAATAATAATAATAATATAATTAATAATTAATAATAATTAATTAATAACAGTAACAATATTATATTTTAATAATAATAATAACAATTAATAATTAATAATTAATAATAATTAATTAATAATAATAATAACAGTACCTAATTCGTAATCGCAACACAAAACTAACCAAAAATTATTATAATAAAAACACATAAAATTGCAAAAAAAAAATTCGAAAAAAAAAATCGCAAAACTTACCTCAACTTAATTGTGTCCAAACAGCAATGGAGTGACCGGAGTTACAACGAAGCGGAGCTAGCGGCGTCAGGCAAGCTAGAGCAGCGTCAGGAAGGGTTGGAGCGGCGCTGCGAATGGAGGAGAGGAGAGGAGGAGGAGAAGAAAGAAAGAAGAAAAAAGAAGAAGGAGGGCGTCTGGCGTTTAAAGCCCTAACTCCTAATTATTTTCTGCACGACAGGTCGGTCACAACTTCATTTAAATATCAATCCGGTTTATCGGCAAATTTAACTCTGCTCGACGTCGTTTTAAACTTCGCTCAACATATGCGAATGGAGGAGAGGAGAGGAGGAGGAGAAGAAAGAAAGAAGAAAAAAGAAGAAGGAGGGCGTCTGGCGTTTAAAGCCCTAATATTTGCGACCGACAGGTCGGTCACAACTTTCATTAATATCGGTCGCAAATTTTAACTCTGCGACGTCGTTTTACTTCGCAATAAAATTGCGACCGATTTGCGACTCAAACTTTCGGTTGCAAATAATCGGTCGCAAATCGGTCGCAGAAATTATTTCTAATTTTGAAGCGCGCAATGTTGCGACTGAATAACACGTAGTAACACATCGGTCGCAAAATCGGTCGCAAATCCGTCGCAAACTGAAAAAGAAACTCGTGGGGATTTTTAGCGCTACAATTACCGACTATTTGTCCATAAGTCGCAAATCGGTCGTAAAATTGCGACCGATTTGAGTCGGTCGCAAAAATGGTCGCAATTTGGAGATTTTTTTGTAGTGTGTTATTCACATAAGCTGAAGCTGGTTTAGTAAAGCAAATCCAATTGGGTTCGGTAGAAAGGGATAATACTTGGTTTTGGTTGTGGGATCCAAAGGTTAATTATACAGTTAGCAGTAGCTACCAAGTTTTCTATAAGGAAAAAGAATTCTAGAGATTACTCGACGGTACAATTTGGAAAGCTATTTAGCATAGTGATATACTAGGAAAAATCAAAATTTTATATGGAGAACTGTCTCGGGTTGCCTCCTTGTGCTAACATCTTTCAAGGCTAGGCACGTTGATGTTGATATTATGTGCCCAACATGTGATAGCGAAGAAGAAACAATTTTACATGTGTTATGCTTTGCCCCGTTGCCCAGCAAACATGGATATAATCTCCTATAGGATGGTGGAGTGATGTCAATGATGTAGACTGTTTTGGTTTTGTCTAATGTTCCAAAGGACAAGATTGATATTTCTTTTACTATTATGTGAGAATTATGGTGGAGTCAAAACCAGTTAATTTGGCATAATAAACGAATCCTAATTGGGATTATGTTGCAACATGCTATCAGTTGTTTAAAGGAAAGATAGTTCGCGTGCCTACTACTATAACTTGGGAAGTATATTTAGGAGTCTATGTTCAGTTAAGTGGATTGCTCCTGTTGTGGGTATTGTCAAATTAAACTTTGATGCGACATAGAATGGAAGGAACAAATGTGCAGACCTAGAGTGATTATTATAGGACAAGCAAGGAAGATAGTTAAGAGGTGGCTATTATGTTATAGAGGATGTGGCATTTATAGCAATGGCAGAATTGATGGGAATACGGGAAGCTCTCAATTGGGTTAAGGATTGTGGGAGAATGTCCAACGAGAGGTGGAGGGAGACTGGTCGATGGTTTTACATGCTCTTAAGCATTCCTAATCCAATATTTTGTATTTTGATGCTTTAATTTATGATGTTAGAACTCTTCGAAATTAGTTCAGTTCTTTAGCTATGCTTTTTGCTAAGAAATCAGCGAATCGGTATATCCACGTGATAGTAAGTGCTGCTAGTTCTATCTCTGATTTATTGGAGTGGGGTCATGTCCCTCCAACTTTGATTCATGATGTCCTATGTTTTTTATGCTATGAATATATATACAATATCTTTATTCAAAAAAAATTAAAATATATGAAAGTATTCATTTAAAACTTATAAAAAAAAAATGATTACATGTTACTTGGTTTTTTTTACCGAACTTGTTTACAAACTTGAAGAAAAAGTAAAAAAAAAAAAAAAAATTATCATCGGAATGAATTTTCTATAATATTCGCATTATTTTTTTTAATTGAATGATTATCATTTTTATATTATTTAAAAGTGGTATTTATTGAGTTGAGCTGCCTTTTTTTTCTTCCATTTAGTCACAAATTAATTTCACTAGTTAAGTTATTAAACAATAATATAATATTTTTCAATCTTTATTCATTATTAATTTTTTTAGTTACACTAGTCTTTTTATGGCGTGCGTTGCATATTGATTATACTCGTTATTGGTACTCGTTCAATTTTTTATGTCATTTTTTACTTATTATTTATACTCATTTTTATTTTTAATATTAAATATCGATTATAATTTTTATCTTATATTATTTAAAATTTTATAATATTAGAATAAAATTTCATGTAAGATTAATGTGAATATAACGATTAATTAATAAAAAAAAGTGTGTATATATACACATAGTTCAGCTTAATTTATATCGTCGTTTATCTAAAATTCATTATAACTACAATATCACCTAATAAATATGTTTTAATATATAGATACATAAATATAAGAATAAAATATTACATATAATACACATAGTTCAGCTTTAATTTATTATCCGTCGTTTATCCTAAAATTCATTATAAACTACAATATCACCTAATAACAATATTGTTATTAATATAATAGTCACTATTATTAAGAATAGAAAATATTAACATATATTTTTTATAGAATTAAATTATCAACTGTTTCATCTATTCTACACACATATTATAATATTCTATTTAAAAAATTTTAAAAGTAAAAGTTTAAAAATTTTGAAGACTTAATTATGATATATATATATTTGAAATATTTTATAAAAAATATAGTTTTTTCTTTTTTTTTTAATCTCTCTCCTAAATAAAACATTTTAAATTATAATAAAAATGGAATTCAAATATTTAAATAAATTTACAAATAAAATATAAAAACTTTCAAATGTCTCATTAATTATATATTTATTAGAAAAAAATAATATTTTCATACTACTTTCTTTTTAAAAAATATCATGTAATTATTAGTGTAAGTGTAAATGTCTCATTATTATATATATTTATTAAAAAATAATATGTTCATACTACTTTTCTTTTAAAAGAAAATATCATGTATTATATTAAATGTCTAATCACAGTACATCTTTGAGAAAATAAATTTACTTTGGTATTAAAAATTCTTAAATTATTTTGTCATGATTTTTCCTTATATGTTTGAAATATTTACATTATTTTATATAATAATTTAGTTTATGCAAATGTTAAAAGAAAAAGTTAATGACATACTCAGGTATTACAATAACATATATAATTACATGTTTTACAGAAATTAAAGTTCAAATAAATATTCCTGGATACCATTAAAGATAAATATGATTATTGATTGATTTAGTAATTAATTCATTATGAGATTGAAAAATAATCGAAAGTAACCGAGAATTAATATAGATGATTGTTATTTCTTAAATTAAGTCATTTATTAAGTTAGATGTTTATTATTTCTTATATTATTTGAAATTAACATTTTATTAAGTAGTTTTCTTTTTCCATTTAATCACAAATTAATTTCATTAAATAAATTATTAAAGTAAAACAATCAGGATAATGATGATGCATATACATGCTTTTTAAAGCTTTTGAGCAATTTATTTTAATCCTTTAGTGCCAAATTAATTTCATTAAATAAGTTATTAAAACAAAACAATAAATAAATGGAGATAATAATATCATTTTGTAGGCTTATTTTCATCCATTGTTCCTCAAGTTAGAGAGTAATCACTATATCGTCCCTTATCTTTAATTTGTCACTTAAAACCGTTTTAATTTCTATTTATGTAACACCAAACTCCCTTTGCTTATTTTCTAGTAATGAATAAATCCGTAAATTTGACTTGGCTTGAATAAATAAAAACTTAGTCACGTAAGCTTTGCCTACTATCCTGCCTTTTGATTCTTCTCAGTTCTCAACTAATACATGTGTCACATCCAAAATTTCACCAAAGAATGTTTCGTCGCTCTTTGTTTAACTTAAATATCAATGGTTTCACTATATCTTGCAATTGATGGTGAACAAAATATTGCTTTTATATTACTAATAGTGGTTTTGTAGGAGCAAGAAAAATCCCCAATACACCAGCAACAGACTGAAAATCATTAGAAATTACAGGTTAAAGAGAGATCAAGCGTGAGTTTATCCAATACACCAGTAATAGCCTGCATATACCTCTCAAGCAACTTCTAGTAGCCCTAATAAAACCACCTTGGACTAATTCATCCGCCATGCCAAAAGTTGTTACGCACCAATACTAACATCAAAGTCATCATGCAACTCAATCCATCTCTATATATAAAACCATATCCAATAATCGAAACAACAAATAGAGATACCATAAAAAAAGGCGAGACCCTCGTTTATCCTAATATAAGCATAAGATAGATGTGAAAAAAAAAAAAAAAAAAAACTCGTTCGATCCTAATATTAAGCATAAGATAGATGTGGAAAAAAAAAAGAAAAAAAAGGAACGATAAATCACCAAACAGAACATAAATTATGAAAGAGGACCCCACAACACTAAGCGTAAAAAAAAAAAAAAAAAAAAAGACAATCACCAACAAACAATAGAGACCCACCAACATGTAAGCGATGATGAATATATGATCAATGAATACACCAAAATTATGAGAAGTAATCAACGACAGTCATTTAACTCGGGTTTAGAGTGTTTAGAGTTTCAGAGAGACGACGAAAAGTAATTAGGGCAGTGGGTAAGCGTAATTTTGAAGAGGAATTAAAGGAGGGAAAAATGGACAAAAAGAATAGGGATAAGAAGGGATTTTGATTTAAAAGTCGTTTGTAGGGAGAGAGAGAGAGAGAGAGAGAGAGAGAGAGAGAGAGAGAGAGAAGGAGTGATGGCACGTTATAAATGTAGGTGTAGTTAGAGAGAGAGAGAGAGAGAGAGAGAGAGAGAGAGAGAGAGAGAGAGGAGAGTGATGGCACGTTGGATAGGAATGTGGTGGTAGTTAGGTGGGATAAAGATGGAGAGAGAGAGAGACATGAGAAAAGAGAAGAGAGAGAGAGGAGAGAG